TTGGTCTTTTAGTGAGCAGAAAGAAAAAGAAAACTATATTTTTCAAGAATGGAGGGGATACAAATGATACTTTTTTAGCTGATGTGTTTAGCACCAAGATCATTTTATTTCTCCTGCTCTATTAATCTATATTACTACTGCTCTATTTTGTTTTGGGACTTATTTTGAGTTCTGTCTTTTTGGTGGGCTACAGAGGCTGTGACATGGAGCCTCTGCATCCAGCAGAATTAAAAGTGGTTATTGAGGCTGGGCATGAAGCAAATAATGAATGCCACAATTAATGCTAGCAAGCATTCTGCAGAATATTAATACAGCCCTACAGCCCATCAAGTTCTGGGAACCAAGGCCAGGATGTTCCCAGGGTGCAAAGTGGAAAGCAGAATATTTTCAAAGCTATGACTTACTAAATACTAATTAGTTTACCAGTGGTACACTATTTACTTTCCTAATTACCAATCTCATTTGCTTTTGCTTTACACAAAAAGGATGTGGAACGTGTATGGTTAATTACAAATATTTACCCAGGATATTGTCAATATGCCACTTGAATGTTGTAGGTATAATCATTACTTTTTAATGTATATGCTCTCTGTACAAAAATCTGTCTTTAATGTGCAGGTTTTGAAGACGTCTAAACTCTTTGTTGCGTCTAAGAGCATAAAGGAAATGTATGGCCACTATCCAATGTGATACCAAAACTTTAACGAGGTCATTTCTTTGATATCTACCATTCTGCATCCATAAACAGAAACTCACTTCCACCTAATATGGCAACCTTTTATTGCATTAAAATATTAAATATTACACTGTCTAAACCCGTGCCAGGAAAAATAGCACCGGTCATAATAAAGGCAGTAGTTTTAATTCTAGGCAGGTATTTCACAGGATTCTTTAAATATTCATTATGCATATGCCTAAAATCAGTACATACTCTTAAAATTTCACTACTAAGCTTTTCAAGGTCCTAATTAAAATAACCATATGCAGTAGCTGATATCCTCTCTTTCTATAGTTAATACATTCTTATATTATAACTGCAGTAATCTGGATCAGGGTGTAAGAAAGGTGAATGAGTTTTATTTCTGCCTGACAGCATTTTGTAAAATCCACGTTGCTGCTGGATGAGAAGCACATACCAGCATCTGCTTTCTTTTTCTCCTTGGGCATGTTATGTTTTCCTTCAATGATTTGTTTCTTAGTGCTATTAGCTTTTAAGGCCACTTTGGCTGGAAAAAGCATTACACTTAACATTTAATTGAAAAAGTGTAAAGGAGGGAAGCAAAAATACATTTTGTTCTTTTATCTGTGCATCCTTTTTATATTATTGATACAGAAGGAGATAGAGATGGCAAAAACATCACATACACGTATGAAGCATCCTTGCTAGGCAAACACAGCTTTGTAGCATCACAAAGGACCATTGCTATCCTGACTGCAGTTTTCCTCTGGGATGACTATATTGTAAAATAAACTCAAAGCATTATAAACTTCAAAAAGAGCTTTAGAGGCTTGCTCCATGACAGAGTGAGTCACTTGTGTCAGCCACAAGAAAGGCCTGTGGAGTTTGAGGTCCTGCTATGACGTCTGAAGTGAGTAGTAGAGATTCAAGGGGATGACATAGAACAGGAGGGTGAGGTAAGGGCTGACATGGTCAAAATCTGTATCAGAAAAACAGGCAAACAATTCTGCCCCAAAATACTCTTTCCAATTCTTAGAGAGGTATTTGTCTTTTCATTACTTCAGACCTAATTGTTTCATCCCTATCTCAGGAGATCTGTCATCTAGGCAGCTCCCAAGCTATTTGGAGCAGATATAATACTGTGCAGTGTGGTACTCTGTAGTCGTACCTCACTTGGTTCTGAGCAAGCTGCCCCCAGGACTGTGCTGTCACAGTGCCAAGTCTGGGCTAATTCGACCCCCTGGGAAGTGGCTGTTCTTTTTGCAGGGCTGCTTCTGCCACACTGAGTGGTGGCAACTTGTCGGGGTGTCCCCTACCATGGCTCTGTTTGTGTACCTACACCCTGGATGCCTCAGATTATAGTCAGAAGCTGTAAGCCTACCTAGAGACCTATCCCCTTTTCTACTTAATAAACAAATGTCAAATGTCTGTTTTCAATGTCGATTTAGATCTTTGGATACTTCTAGAGATTACCTGGGCATGGCTTTTGTGGAGGTGTGTGTTAGTTTGTTTATTTGTTTGCTTCTAATATATGTGAATGAAATTGCTGCACTAGGATTTAAAAACCATCTCAAACCTCTTTGTCTCATGAAACCAATATTGTTTCTTGTTGATTTCTTCTCTGCTGGAAATACTCCTCAAACTTATCCAAATTTGACACTGAGAAGAGAGGATAGGAATGTGATTTACAGTAGAATGTCTTCAAGCTGTGTCATACTTCTCCATTGATGGCCACCTAGGTGATTTTATGTGCTGTGCATCAGTGCAATTCAAAAAGCTTGCCACAGCACCCCCTAGTTTGTGTACTGGTCTGGTAATGGTGAGGCTTCTATGTCAGTGAATAGATGTCTCATAGTAGATATCTAGTCTTCTGTGATTTATTTTTATATAGTAAGGCAGATCTCACAGCCTCTCCTTAATATTCCAACCATGAGACTTAAGGCAACAGCAAAAAATGCTTTCAGGACAATTCTGGAGCAAGCCAAGCTTTAGGATACTGATCCAATTTCTGCTGCTGAAGGCTGCAATGTTCTAGCAGGCAGCAGTGTTGGTCCCTGCTGCTGGGAGAGTTACTAATGTAAATCTGGGATTCTACTAAGAGTTCCAGTCCATTAAAAATCATACATGCTATTTAGGAGACTATATTAAAACTTTGTGCCCATCATAATTCCTCTATTATTTTCATATTTGGTTTCCAATTATTTTTCTATGAAAACTCACTGTTAATGCTCAACTATGGATTTTGATGCTGTTCAAATTTTGAGTCAGATAACAGCAATACAGCTTTTATTAAAAAAATAATCATGAAACTTAAATGAGGCGCATAGCCAAAGAGGTGACATTTTATTCAGCTAGTGACAATCTTAGGAAGAAAAAACAATATCTTGTGAGGTTTTAACTGGCCATTCATCTCAGTGGAGAAATCTATTTGGGAATCTGTAATGCAGCACAATTCAATGTGTTTGTGTCCCTCTCCTTAGCAACCTTTCCTTTATCATTCAAAGGAAGTCTTTCTTTTCTGTGCTTCTGCATCAGCAGTCCCAGCAGCCATAGATGTGATTATGAACCCCAAATTTGTCCAATATAAGTATTATTAGATAGTGAAATCCATGCATGCTACAAAGCCACATGGGATCAGTGGAGACGGTTAAAAAGAAAATGAATGCAGCTCACTGATCAATACGGTCTGTGATTTCTTGGCAGAATATTTATCCATTTTTACAGGAAGTATGCAGAATTTTGAATCCAGTATTTGAGTTCATCACAGTCTGGAGTCTATATGTGTGAAGTTTAGTTTTCCTTTTTGCATGTTCCTTTCTAACCCATACACCTTACGTAATTCCATAGTTTTTTTTACTGGCTATGAAATATATTCCCAAATACTCAGCATGCCCATATTTGCTTTTTTTCACCTAGGATGTATTTTCCTACCAGATGTGTCCTATTATGAATGCAAATTTTCCAAATATTGGATTATTCCAGCCACAGGACTCACAACCCTGTACCTTCCCCTGTGTGTTCTGATAATACACTGATAGCCTGTTGTCAGATGTGATTAATGTTACCTTTAAAAAAATGCAGAATGAGCCCTGCAGTGTATTTTATGCCCTATAGATTTATGTATAGGCTGTTAGCTTAGTTTTGGCCATCCTCCCCATGTTAATGAAATGAAAAACAGCCAACAGTGAACAGCTTGTGTCCTGTATAACAGTCCTTTAAACTTACTAGATGCCACATCTTAGTGAGGTGGTGGTCAGCAGCTGCCCAGTATTTGGGCCTAATTCACTTCTCAGGAAGTCAAGAAAAAAGGTTTGGATTCAAATGACACATCAATATTCAAATAATTGAATGGAATGAACAAAATGCTGCTTGCAGGACAGCCGAATTCACCTAGTGATAGGACAAGGGGGAATGGTTTTAAAGTGAGACAGAGGAGGTTTAGTTTGGATATTAGGAGGAAGTTTTTCACACAGAGGGTGGTGATGCAGTAGAACAGGTTGCGCAAGGAGGCTGTGGATGCCCCATCCCTGCAAGCATTCAAGGCCAGGCTGGATGTGGCTCTGGGCAGCCCGGCCTGGGGGTTGGCGACCCTGCACACAGAAATGCATTGAAACTAGGTGATCAGTGTGGTCCTTTTCAACCGAGGTCATTCTATGCTTCAGTGAATCCGTGAGTATGTTTGCATACTCAGATTTCTTATCCTCAAACCTCATGTTCCATTATCAGACGGCACTGCAAGGCACTGCTGTGCATCCTCTGCTATGGCTGGAGCTCTTGGGTCAGTCAACGCTGCCCCGTTGCTGAGTCTGACAGAATGCAGCACTGGTGACTGGGGCCTTTGGCTCTCCTGAGCTGGAGCAAAACAGACAACTGACATTCCCCTTGAGGGAGCCGGGATGGTTCAGTCTGGAGAAGAGGAGGTTCAGGTGAGAATGTATCGCTCTGCCATGAGCTGAAAGGAAGTTGTATTGAGGCGGGTGTTGGCCTCTTTTTCCAGCTGGCAGTAGAACAGAATGAGAGGTAATGGCCTTTAGGTACACCAAGGGAGGTTCCTGTTGAGCATTAGGAAAAACTTCCACTCTGAGAGAGTGGTGAGGCAGTGGCACAGGCTGCCTGGGGCGGTGGGGGAGTCACCATCCCCACAGGCGTTCAAGAACCGCTTGGCTGCAGCACTGAGGGACGTGGTTGGTGGGCACGTGGGGACATGCTGGACTTGTTGACCTTAGTGGTGTTTTGGAACCATTTTGATGCTGTCATGTGGTTACGTAAGGGCACAATACTGGATCTGCAGTCTGTTGGTGAGGTGAAGTCTGCTGCCAGCCTACCAGGCCTGCAGCTGCTCATCTGCCTGGGCTTCCTTTCCCCTGCCTGGAAACAAGGTCTCTTCTCTTTCCAGCGTGCAAGTAACATTTCTTCCACTGTTGTTCCAAAATGAAGTGTGAACCAAATTCTGAGCCACTGGTTTATCGTAACGTAGACATGCATTTCGTAGTCCAGCTCTGTATGGAATCTCTCCCACATCCTACAAAGAGAGCACCGGTCTCACTCTCCATCTGCATCAGGTGGAAGAGGGAACTACCTGCACCTACAGAATGAGCCCCTACCACTAATCCCTCTCTTGGACTCTGAGAAAACAGAGATGTCACAACTTTTCCAAACGGATACTTCCTTCCTGTAACCATCTGGGAGATAACTTAGGAGAAAGTTGAAAAGTGTGGGTGACACCACAAAAACTCACATTTAGCATGTGCATCTGCCCCTTTGCCACATAACCAAATACGTTCTTGAAATTAGATTGTTTGCAGCTACTGTGATGAAGAAGAAATTTCTCAGGCGGTCCCTAACAAATACAGAACGAGTGGCTACAAGACATCACACTAAGGCCAGCAAACCAACACGCCTTACAGAAGGGTGTGCTTATTTCTGATAGAACACCCTTTGGGGCTCCTCTGGGTATTTTTGACTGATTTTTCCTCTGAACGTTTGGAGGTCTGATACAAGCAGCTAAGAGAGCTGTCCCTGATTACTGCCAGTATGAATATTTCTGAAGCGCCCACCTGCATGGCATCTGAGCTCACCTCTGATGTTGGAGCAGGATTCAATCAGCGTTTGCACCAGCAAGCTGCCCACAGCTGGAAGCCGCTCCCTGGCAGGAAGCTCAGCATGGCTCGGGTTGGTGAGCAGAAGGGCAGTGCTGCTGCCAGACACATGCTGCTTGCAGGACAGCCGAATTCACCTCCGTGACCACCAGGGATCCCCACAAGCTGAATGGCTCACTGCCACGGTGGCATCCACCCAGAGAGCACAGGCAGAGAGGAGGAAGGGGATCGGGTACCTGAGGCAGCTCCAGCTCACAGCCCGTACCTCCCCGCTCCTGCCGTGTGCTCCCATCATTGCTGGGCCCAGGTGAGAGAAATGAAACCTCCCTGAAGTACCGCCCACCCTTGGGCACAGGAAGAGCCACTGTCAAATGCGGAAACAGGACAGGCAACTGGAGAATATTTAGGATGTTTATTTCTGGAACTGATCTACTCTGTTCACTTGGAACCTAGGATCTCTATCTGCTATGGCATGAATTGTGCTGGTGTCCAACTCGGTCGCCTCCAGCTCCGCTGTTGCTAGCGGCGGGCTCACTGCCCGCTGATGCTGCAGGGCCTTGCCGTCTGTTTGGAGGGCTGCTCACGGGGCCCTCCTCGAAATCCAGCTCTGGTGGGAATGCAGCTGATGCTCTCCTTCGTACGCCAGCGCTCCGCTTGAACCATTTCTGCAGACATGGGTACTCTTTCTTGAAACTGGGGTTGTAGTAGCAGAGCAACTGCAAAATGCAGAGGAGAAGAGTTAGATGCCACCGTTTCCAGATGGCAAAAGACAAAGCTACATTAAGTAATAGTCAGAAATTTTAGGATTGTCAAAGTAGGAAAGCGGGTTTGGAAACCCAAATACCACCAACTTGCAGCCCCCTCAGGTGGGACCGGCCACCAATGCACCTGTCCTTAGAGGTGTCCTATGGGCAGGGGGACTGCGTACCTCACTGCAAACAGACGCGGCTGCGCCTGCTGGGCATTTTGCCCGAGAGGCAGCTGTGGGCAAATCGCTGTCCACAATGAAGAAGCCGTGCAGGTGGAGCTGGCGAACGAAGGCTTTCATGCAGCCGATGCTGAGGTTGTGTAGAGGTCCTGTCCTTCCCAGCACTTCTGTTTTGAAGAGGGTTTCCTCAATCACAATGGTGTTCTCATCGTCGCCCCACCAGATGGACTGGAAGCAGTCGCTGTCCACAATGTTACGGAGCTTTGTTAGAAAGCAGCAGGCCGAGTCATGGGCTTTGCAGGAGCCCTTGGTGGAAAGATCAAGCCGTTGTCTTTTGGCACAGGATTGCTCCTGTGAACCCTGAGAAGTGTCTTCTTCTCGTGTCGGTCCTAAGGCAGCATCCCGAGCTGTTCTTTTACCCCGTCTTTGCGGGACAGAAGAAGCCGGGTCTGCCGAGCCAGCATTTGGAACAGAAACTCCAGGAGTTTCTGATGAAGATGTCTCCATCTTAATTATTAACTGTTTGCGCTGACAGAAATTTCTGTCCGCAGCGGTCTCCCCGGCCAACCAGGGTCGTCCTGCCAGCAGCAGGATGGAGCGCAATGGCAGCCGTGGTGTGAGGCGTGGGGAGTGGGCTGGGATGGTCACAAACGTCCCCGTGGTGACCGTGCTGCACGACGGTGACATCACAGACCGGTGACTGTTTGCTGGGGAAATGGAGTGGCGGCATCCTTGTTAATTATGGAAGGCCAAGCTGGATGTGGCTCTGGACAGCCTGGTGTGGGGGTTGGTGACCCTGCACATAGAAGGACATTGAGAGTAGGTGATCATTGTGGTCTTTTTCAACCGAGGCCGTTCTATGGTTCTATGATTCTAAGAATCTGTGATCAGATACTTGAGATTGGAATTATACTGTTTCCAAATTTAACTATTGTAAAATCTATCATTCCTCACTTCAGTTCAGGTGAAACAAAGACGAGAAACAAACACTCATTCTTCACAACACAGAAGCTTGCAAACATCATCATAAATTCCACACCAGCTGCTATTCCCAGCAGTCAGTGTAGTCACGTAGAGAAATTGTGCCTTTGAAAAGATAAATCGATTGGTCCCCTGTCTCAGTGCTGTTGCTTATTCAGATAGGGATACGTGGACGGGCATCAGAGTGCTGGGCAATGCTTTCATTAGTCTGTGATATAAATATTAATGGAATTGTATGTTTTAGGAAGCCATTTGGGATAAAACTATTGCTATTTGTTAGTAATAATTGGGCAGCTGCTGGAGGCCCTTGTTTAAGGGTCTGCCAAGAAGTTCGCTGTTAGGGCTCTGTGGCCACCAGTTTTTTGATCAAGCCTAGTCCTACAAGAAATGAGCTGGATCAGTTCTGCTGTAGTGTGAGTAACAAAGTACGAGCTTGGGTCAGACCCTCTTTTTTTCCCTGTGTTGTAAGGACAGCAGTCGGACAGGTGCGCATCTGATAGATGGTGAAGAGTAAAACCTGTTCATCTCCTCTTTTCTCTCAGAGCAGCAGAACTGCATGCTGCATGGTGATGGCTGATTTATTAACTGGGTTTGACCTGCCTTTATTGAGTTAGTAAAAGAAAAATCACGTCTGCCAGCTTCTGCTGGCCTGCTGTTGTAGATGAAAGTTAATGTTTTAAGGGCAAGTGACTTAACCACAAAGATCCTAATTCTTTCCATTTCAAGACCTGTCCGTTCATGCAAATTACACTATTCCTTGTTATACAGGGATTGGTTTTGCCTAATGCTTCTTTAAGTATAAATATGGTATACATAGCTTAGTATGGAGTCAGGAAGCTGTTGATAGCAGTAGTACAAACATTTACAATCCGAAAGGCAGACAAATTATGTGCTGCTGCACTAACTTACTACTGGAAGTATGTCATACATGGTTGAACAACAGAATATTAAAAGCTGAGAAAATGCTAAATGGCACTGATAAACAAAAAGGTCCTGAAAGGCCAAAGATTCAAACAGATTTATTCCATGAAAAATAAAATCTGTGTCCAGAACTATTTACAGAAGAAGCTTTAATCTGTTAATTAGCAAGACTTAAATAGTCATTTTTATTTATAACAGCACCCAAAATATTTAGGCTGCGTTCAGCCGTATGGAGGCACAGTTTTTAGAGACACCACTGACTTTGTAGATTGCATGTGGGAAGAAGGGAGTACAAACAAAAGCAGCCAAATACAGAAATGTGCAAGAAGGGAAATTGCTAGTATGCATCGTGGGTTAAAATGTATGCTTAGAATTGGTCTAGAAATTGTACTGGATTGTGAGTGCAGATCTGGATTGCATTCCTTCCTCCCCCAGCAGTACAACTGGCTTCTCTGATTTTCTGCAACTTGCTTTCCTCCTTGCTCTCCTCTTATTTTGTAAGTTTTCTGTAGCAAAGCCCATTTCACACCATGTGTATGCTTTCCAAATACAAATGGAAATGAGATTTTCAGTGGGGCTGTTGGTGCTGCTGTGTTTCTTCTGGGAGAGCTGTCTTGTAGTAACAGCGTTTCTTCTATAAATTGTATTCTGTTGAAATACTCCTGTTCTAGTTTTTCCAACCCCAAAGAATGCTGCAAATTGCTATTTAGTGAGTATTGTTTGTAATCAGAATGGAAAATCTGTTTAGTTTGGAGGACTACAGATAAAACTAATCACAATCCCACCTCTCAGTGAAACCAAAAGTTTGGTTAAAGATTCCAAACTAGAAATTGCACATATGCAAACCACAGCTGGTAAGATAGCTGAGATTTCATGGCTGCCCTGGCTGTACAATGCAAGTTTTCTGTTTGCGTTAATCCTAAATCCCTAGGCTGTTTCGCAAACCTCAGGCTGTTTCTGGAGCACCAGGGCCCTATGCCCCCTACACTGTAAAGAACAGAGGTTGCATTTCAAAAGAAAAGGCACCTAAGTTTCTCTTGATATGTTTGGAGAATGAAGGAGAGAGGAATCTGGGACTGTAGTCTATTTTTAAAATTGAATGAAGTATAAATATAGATTGAGTAAAAGAGATTTTAACCTTTTAAGTTAAGGATTTTACCTTTTAAGTAAACCTGTGTGTTCTTTCCCTCAGTAATATTGAAAAACTCGTTTTCTAGAATCTGAGAACAACATTGGAATGAACTTCTCTTGTACTGATATGTAGGAAAATTTAAAACATCTTTCCTTTGGTTTGGCAGAGTTTACTAGAGATGCAACAAAATGAAAAGCATTTCTCACAAGACCGATACCCTTTTTCAACTCCAGATATGTTTTTTTTTTGTGTGTGTGTGAGCTTAACTGAAAGGAGACTTTGTTGGAAGTCATTCTATATTTAGGAATTGAGAAATCAAACCCACTTCTCATTTTGTAATACTTACTGGATGATTACCACATCAGTGCAAACTACTGTGTGTTCAACTTTCATGTCACAGTGCCATTACTTCTCCTTTATTGCCAAATACCAGGAAGCTGCAATTCTGTTTGATCATAGCTGGGGCTTTCTGGCACCCAGTGTCATGGGTTTTTTTGCTTAATAAATCTACCATTTTTGCATAAAGACTATGTAAGGTTACTGCGTCTCATTTCAAGCATTTAAATGTTTTATGTTAAATCAAATGTGATGGAATTTATGTTAAATGAAAACAGATTCTTAAGGACAAGAGGAAAAAGGCAATGATAGTGTGAGGTGGAGTGCTACGTATTCAGAATGAAAAACAACTTGGAAATCAGAGCTCAGAAAGGTTAAAGTAAAAGCCAATAACACATTGCACATACTTTATCTGTCTACTGGAAGGTTTTCTTTAAAGGCTGTGAGTATGTTTAAGCCAAATTCCTTTAGAAAAATCAGAGTTAAAATCACATGAGATAAGTATTATCACGAACTGGCTTTTTGTAATAAAAAGAAAGGGTTTTTTTTTTTCTTTTTTTTATTTCTTTTTGGAACAAAATATGAACTTATCTGCTCACTCAGCAGGAATCTTCCTCCTTGGTACTGGGAATGGCTGAGTCACCTTGGGCAATGGACTTCAGAGAAAGAGACCAAACAGAAAATCCAAACTGACCAATATCTTTCAACCACTTCTGCCTCTTTGAGTCACAAGTCCAAATCAGTGACCAAAAGTTTACACAAAGATTATTCACTTTTTGGATGCTTTCCCTGCAGCCGAAGAACTATGTCTCTCAAATAGTGTTTTTGTGCTCTTTGTAAGAGTTGTAGTTTCCATGGAAATCAACAGGAGGCATTACTTTTGGAGCAACCCATGTGGAAAGTATGCCATGTGTATTCCAGTCAGTGTCAGTGAACTGCGAATGTATTACCACTGTTTATGTCCACTAATAATATGTTGTAATTAGCAATAAACTGTCTTCTGCAGAGGATACAGGTGGGCCTGGCTGTGCTTGAAGAAAACGGTAGTTAAACTAGCCAATAAAATAATATCAAGTTCCAGCCCCTGAACAGGGTAGATATGTTGTGTTATCGTGTTGTCAGGATGTGTATAGGGTTTCATTTATTTTCTTTATGGAAACTGAAAGTTGTGCCTGTGTTTGCTGTTGTGAAAGAGTTTCTGCATAGATCTTAATGGATTTGTTGAGCTCTCATCTACAGCAGTAAAAATTAATACTGGAACAAGTGGAATGCAAAATAACGACCTGCAAAACAGTGACTAGATGCATTCAAACACAATGGTAGATGTTTGACTAATGTGAGCTGGGGGGGGAGAGGGGGGTAGTGGTGGGAAAAAAACTGTCATTTTCCAGGATAATAAACTGGAGAAAAAAATTTAGAGAATTTTTCATTGCAAAATAAGAACCGTGTGTCTCCTGAATTAGTTATCCTCAATGCTACAGTACAGTTTCACATGAAGTTTGTGATAAAACTATGCCTGTAGGAGGAATTTGAGTCTTTAGGCCTATATATGTGTAAAATTGGTTTGATTAAGATTGAAATGTGTATGCAAAAACCTGATAAATGAGAGTGCCATGTGACTGGAGGGAATGAAGAAGGACAGCATCAGGGAAGAACAGTATAAAAAGGGAAAAGCAAAATGGATAATACTGAAATGAATAACACTGTGCCTTGAAGAAGTAAAAAAAGCAGAAAAATTCACTGAAGGAGCTCTCAAAAGCGTATTATGTTGTAATATTCCTTCGAGGCAGACTGGAAAAAATAAGGTTTGAAATTGCAACAGTGAGGCTCAGCAAGTGTTTCTTGGAATATGCAATATTTATATTACAGTGAGTATGTGATGATTAGGAAGATCTTTTCAGTAAAGTCTTATATTAGCCCCTTCACAATTTTTTTTGAATGGATGGATAAATGGTCACAGAGTAATTGAAAAACTTGTCTGTGAGCCCTGAAAGCAAAAGTGAAGGAGCAGAGAGGCCAGGCACTGTGACTTGCCTTGGACTGTCTTCTAGAGTTTGCCACCCCCTGGGCATCAATAAGGCAAACAATTCACACCTAAAACGTTGAGGGTAGCTATTTTTACAGATCACTAACTAGAATAAGTTCCTAGAATTCTCTTTACATTTTTGACATGGGAGGATTTTTTTTTACCTATTTC